GGCATGGACACGGAGGCCGAGACCGCGGCGACCGAGGCGCCCGCGCGGTCCCTCAACTGCGTGGAGGCCGAAGCCGCGGCGCGGGCGGCAGCCGAGGACTCCTGCGCTGCGCTAGGCAGCCTGCAGCCAGCCCCGGCCCAGCCCCCTGGGGACCCCGCGGCCCAGGCCTCGGTCAGCAACGGCGAGGACGCGGGCGGCGGCGCGGGCAGGGAGCTGGTGGATCTGAAGATCATCTGGAACAAGACCAAGCACGACGTGAAGTTCCCCCTGGATAGCACAGGCTCTGAGCTAAAACAGAAGATTCACTCTATTACAGGTAATTCCCGCGGCGCGGACAGTCTCCCTCACTCCGCCTCCTGATGAGCTTACACTGTGCTAGGCACAGTGCTGGCCTTTTTCCTGGCATCAGGAATCCTCACAGGCAATCCTCCGAAGGATACTTGGATGCTCATTTTTACTCAGTCGGGGAAAGAGACCTCAGATTACAGAGCTAGTAAGTTGCTGAGCTGGGATTCAAGCCCAGCTGTGACGTTTAGGCCCCAGTTTCTCACTGGTGTTGCCCTAGCATCTCTAATTTAAAAATCACCTACGGCACTTGTTTTACAGCTGCTAGGTTTTTCCCCAGGAGATTCTGATTCAGTGGGTCTGGGAGGTAGCCAGGAGTTTATTTTTAGCAAATATCCTAGGTAATTGTCATAAGGGAAGTTTAGGAGACACTGCTGTTGGCTTTCAGACAGGCCCTTCCAGATTGCTCATATTTCTTAATTGTATCTTGTTTATAGTGCTTTGTTATCTGGAAAGATTTCTTTTTTAAAGCATTCTATGTGTAGATTTTAAGCTCCATAAGAACAAGAACTTCGTCTTTATTGGCTTCTATATTCTTGATGCCTGTGATTCTCACTTAATATTTGAATGATTTGATAACTGAGGAACAATCTAGAAAGAATGAGAGCTAATAATATCAAACAATAACTGAATAGGAGGCGCCATGCTATGTGCTCTGTATTTGTCCTGTCTCTTAATCCTTAAAACAAGTCTAAACGGAAAGACTTTCATCACTCTTTTTTTTTTTTTGAGTTGAAGTCTCACTCTGTCACCCAGGCTGGAATGCAGAGGCATGCTCATGGCCACTCCAGTGTTGACCTACTGGGCTCAGGCGATCCTTCTGCCTCAGCCTTCCAAGTAGTTGGAGCTACAGGCACGCACTACCACGCCTGGCTTATTTTTCGATTTATTGTAGAGATGAGGTCTCGCCAAGTTTCCCAGGCTGTCCTTTACCCATGGGCTCAGGCAATCCCTTCATCTCAGCCTCCCAGAGTGCTGGGATTATAGGCTTGAACCACCGTGTCTGGCCGACTTTCATCACAATTTGAAAATTGTGGCTCAGTGGTTATAAATTGCACAATTCACAAAACTAATAGATGGTGTCGCCAGTATTCACTTTGTGATCTGTTACTGAAGTGCTACGTAGGGTCCCTCCATTTTTCATTCCTTCCTTTCACTGTCTGCCTTCTACCTTTTCCTAAGGTCTCCCGCCTGCCATGCAGAAAGTCATGTATAAGGGACTCGTCCCTGAGGATAAGACATTGAGAGAAATAAAAGTGACCAGTGGGGCCAAGATCATGGTGGTTGGCTCCACAATAAATGATGTTTTAGCAGTAAACACACCCAAAGATGCGGCGCAGCAGGATGCAAAGGCCGAAGAGAACAAGAAGGAGCCCCTCTGCAGGCAGAAAGTGAGTCCATCGTGTACTTGCTGGTCCTGAGAAATTTGAGGCTTTGTCCTCTTGAGCCTTGGCTGGTTACATTCTCCCTAGAATAAGCTCCTTTTTGGACAGGGCCCATGATGGAAATTTATGGCAGCAGTTGGGTGCGGCAGAGTGGAGGTGACAACTACCTGAGATTTGCAACTTTGTCTCATCTGGCTGGTCAGTGTGTCTCAAGTCTACCTACTTTAGGATAAGGTCTTGGAAAAGGGAGGCTTTGGACCAGGTGTTGAAAGGAATCAGACATGGGTTTCTCTCCTAGTTAGTATCAGGGGAAAATGCCAGTACTAGAATTAAGCCCTCATTTTATACAAGTGCTTACATTTGTTTTTTGGTTTGTGGCTTCCCACAAGTCAACAAGCCTGGTTCTGGTTTAAGCGTGGAAACTGACAGCTTTCAGAGATTCCTCTAAAACTGCCCATTTCAGGAAACCAAACAAAGCTGAGTAGAAAGATAACTACACTGATTGTGTGTGTATGCATGTGTGTCCCCTCCTGATCTGTGAAATAGGGACTTCATTTTTCACATTCTCTGGTGTTCATTTTGGATGGAAGGAATCCAGCTTTGTCTGTGCTCGTCAGAGCTATTAAAATTCTTTTTGCAATTAGGAAAAGTGAGATTTTTACTGCAGAAGGAACAAGTTGGAAGAATCATTATTTATTATCTTATCACCCAGCAAGTCTCACTCATTGCTATATAGCCTTCTAGCCATTCTTGGCCATATTGCAGGAAAATAGGTGTTCTCAATTTAACTATGTCCTGAGTAGGCGATCAGCTTGAATCAACATCGGTTTTAGTGACCATAGGAACTAAGCTGTATGGCCAACCATGGGAGAAGAACATAATTTTGTGTTATAGACTCATAATCCCCCATGTGTACTTCCAAAATCCCAAAGTGGTCTGAAAACTAAGAGTTTTTATACATTTAGCAGAAAACCTTACCAGAATTATGGCAATATTCATGCTTTGCTGTAGCAACATTAATATGTTTGGTGACAAGGTGCTACCCCAGACTCCATGGAGGGTTTAATGTGATGCTTTTTAAAACTGCTATCTTTATAAAATCCTCAAACTCTAAAGTTAAAAACACTGTCCATAGCGTTTCAGAGAAGGTGTTGTAAACCTATATAAACCTATATTAACATCTAGTAGGTGTTTATTTGGACATTTCACCCCCAAATATGGGATCACAAGGTCTCGTAAATGATTAAATTCATTTCCATTTTCCTGTCTTCCTTGCCACATGTATGGAATAGTCAAATGTGAGCATGCCAGATGTGAATGTTCCTACTGGTCCCACCCTTGGAGCATAACATGTCTTTTTTTTTTTTTTTTGGTGAGTTGGACTCTCACTTTGTTGCCCAGACTGGAGTGCAGTGGCCGCTCCCGGCCACCACAGCCTCGACCTGCTGGGTTCCGGCGATCCTTCCGCCTCAGCCTTCCAAGACGTAGCTGGAATTACAGGCGCACGCTACCTGATTAGCACCCGGCTAATTTTTTTTTGATTTATTGTAGAGATGAGGTTTCACCAAGTTGCCCAGGCAGGTCTCGAACCCACGGGCTCAGGCAATCCACTCACCTCAGCCTCCCAAGGCGGGGGATTACAGGCTGAGCCACTGAGCCCGGCTATAACATGCCTTTTAAATACAGGTTTTGAGTTAATGATAGTAGCTTAATACTAGATCTCTCCACAGTGCAGTGAAAATTCTTCAAAAGGTACTTGTCAGGGATGACTCAAATTGTACTTACAACCCATGCTTTGTTTCACTGATCCCAGTTATGAGGCATAACATGACCTCATGTCCCTTGACCTTTTTTTTTTTTGAGTTGGAATCTCACTCTGTCACCCAGACTGGAGTGCAGTGGCCGCTCCTGGCCACCGCAGCCTCGACCCACTGGGCTCCGGCGATCCTTCCACCTCAGCCTTCCGAGTAGCCGGAATTATAGGCATGCGCTACCATGCCCACTGCTTTTTGATATATTGTAGAGATGAGGTCTCGCCAAGTTGCCCAGGCGGGTCTGGAACCCACGGGCTCAGGCAATCCACTCACCTCAACCTCCCAAAGGCGTGGGATTACAGGCTGAGCCACCGAGCCCGGCTTATCCCTTGACTTTTTATCAGTTTTTGGGGTTTTTTTTTTTTTTTTAGTGGGAGTCTCACTCTGTCGCCCAGGCTGGAGTGCAGTGGTGGGCTCATGGCCACCGTAGCCTTGACCTGCTGGGCTCAAGTGATCCTTCCGCCTCAGCCTTCCAAGTAGCTGGAACTACAGGCACGCACTACCACGCCTGGCTAATTTTTTGATTTATTGTAGAGATGAGGTTTCTTCAAGTTTCCCAGGCTGGTCTCGTACCCTTGGGCTCGGGCAGTCCTCTCACCTCAGCCTCCCAAAGTGCTGGGATTATAGGTGTGAGCCACCGCGCTGGCCTTTTTATCAGTTTTTTTTTTTTTAACAAATCTGGGACTGATGTATAGAGTCTGGCAATGTTGAGTTTATTCCTGTTCGAGGGTTTCTGCCATGCTAGTGAGGGTTTTGCTGGCTTGTGGCCATCTGGTGCTTACATTTTATTAAAATTTTTAAAAAATTTTATTATTTTAAAATGTCTTCTTGTAGAGGTGGGGGTCTTGCTTTGTTTCCCAGG